CGGGAGCGAGGGCGGAACGCGAGGCGGGGCGGGGAGACGGAGGGGGGAGGGCGGAGAAGCTCGGGGGGAGGGGCTAAGCTCGCGGTCCCGAGGGCCCGGGGCTCGGGCGGAGGGGCGCCCCCGGGGTGGGGCGAACGCATCCCTCGGGACTTCCCGGGCCCGGCTCAGCCCGGTCCCTAACCGAGGCCCCGCCCCCTCTCAGAGAGTCTTTGCAGGGGCTCCGTGCCGCGGCGGGGGTGAGGGACCCCCGGCACTCTCTGTGCCTCGATTCCCCCATTCCTACGGTGCGGTTCCAGTGTCCTCGGTGCCGGAAAATTCCCAAAGGCCCCGCCGGCAGGAGACTGTCTCGGCCCCTGTCCGCACATGTCCCTCCTGCACCCTGAGAACTGGGCCCGAGAGCTGCGCAGCCGCCCCACCCCCCACCCCAGAGTCAGCCCACTTCTGGTTTGGCCTCCAGGGCTCGGGAGAGGTGGAGGGCGTGGGGCTTCCCCGGCCGGGCAGGAAGACCCTCTGCTCTGTGAGAGGCCCAGGGACCATTCCCCGCGAAGGCCGGCGGGGTACCTCTGCTGCCTGAAAGATTTGGGGGCCTTCCCTTCTTCCCGAGTCCTCTGGGTGTCCAGGGCTTGAAGGCAGTATTGGAGGAGAAAGAGAAATGCCAGCTGCGGTGATGGTGGCATCAGGGCCCTCGGCAGCCGCGCTCTCCCCTCTGGGATGGCCAACGGAGGTCCCGGGAAGGAAGGACAGGCAAACAAGATCACGAAAACAAGTCAGGGCCACAGCCTGGGTTCTGGCCTGTGCTGGTGGGGCTCTTGGCCCCACTAGGAACGACCAGAAATCATTGGGAAGGCAAAGCAAATCATAAAAATAGAAATCTTAAACAGCTTTGCTGGACATCTATTAGGGACCCAGTGTTGGCCAAGAGCTTCCCTGGCATCTCTCAGTTAATTCTTGACAGTTCCCCCATTTGACAGATAAGCAAACCGAGGCAAGACTCAAAGTGACTTGCCCATGGATATACAAAAGGGAACCTGGCTTTGGAGGCAGGAAGGTCCAAGCTAACGGAGGCCCTGGATCCTAGCCATTTTTGTTTAAAAGAAAGAGAAGCTCTGGCCCCAGTGTGGGTGGGCAGAGCTGCAGGCTGGGAGGGGAGGTCAGGGATGGGGGCGCCAGGCACAGTCAGGGTCCAGCAGGCATTGGGCTGGGGGGTGGGGTGCTCTTGAGACAGGCGGCCCCTCCCCTTGCTTCTGGCCTTGGTTCTTACCGTGCTGGGCCTCTTCTCCGTGCCTGACGGTGACCAGGCCCGGTAATACCTCGGCCTTTCCCTCTGCCTGAACACACAGTCCCTACATTTCTGCCCTCACCGCCATCACCACCCCTTCTCCTGCTTGCTTTTTCCTCCCAGCATTGATCACTCAGCACAGCTTAAGTCAACAAATATTCCCTTGTTCTCTCCTTTTCGAGACAATAGGGATTTGGTCACTGCCGAACCCCCAGGGCTGAGGATGGTGTCTGGCACACAGTAGGTGTTCAGTGCACATTCAATGAGAACGTGAGAAAAGCGCAGAGAAGCCAGAGAGGTGGGTCTGGGCCGCCGGAGTCCTGGGAGGTGCTGGAACAGGGGCGGGGCGCACCCAGGGGTGCGATGAGCTAGATCCTATGGGGACACCGGGGGCCAGGCTGGCGGGGAGGCGCGCGCTTGGGTTTTAGGTGTTTTTCTGACGTTAGGAGCCGCAGGAGCGAGCCGCGTGCACCCCTAGGCTCCGCCCAAGGTCTCGCCTCGGAGGCTTCTCCCAGGCATCCGTCCGCGCCGCCCTCGGCCTCTGGGGTCTCTGCGTCTGTCTGTCTGCGTCTCTTTCCTCACCTCCCCCACCCCACCAGTTCTCTCTCCATTTCTCCCGCTGCCCTTCAAGGTCTTTCCAGATCTATCTCCCCCTCGGTCTGTCTCCCTCCTCCCCGTTGCGTCCCCGCCCGCCCTCCCAGCCTCTCCCCCAGCCTCTCCCCCAGCAAACCTCTTCCACCAGCCCAGGCCTCCTGGGCCCCGCTGCTGGGCGCCGGCCAGGCCTGGAAGCCCGTCCCTCCCCCGCCCTTGACCCTGCGCCCCTCCCCTTCCTCCGCCTCCCCTGCCCCCTCTCCCGCCCTCCCGTGCCCTGCTGAGCCTGACCGGGCCAGTTGGGCGACCCGGGGCGGCCGCGTGGTTACCAGCAGAGGAGGTGCCCGA